ATACAAAAACCTAACCAGTTAAAACTAATTGTATGGTAGAGCCCAAGAGACTTGACTACAGCCAACTATGACAAAGGGGTATGAGAACTATTCCACAAAAACAGCCATACATCAACCGAGCGACAAGTACTCTCAATATAAAAGTCTTAGCATTTTACATATGCTTATTGGCTTCTATTTTGAGAGTGGGGGCTACTGTTATGGGAAGGAAAATATAGAACGAACGAAGCAACAGAAAGGGATTCTCTGAAGATCATCGGCCCGGGCCAACCCGGACCAACCCATGGTCTGCACCGAGCAGTGCTCGACGCCGACCACGCCTTGGCATCGAGGTTTTCTGGGCTAAAAGGCCGAGAACCCTAATTTGATTCCCTTAGATCGTTGTCCAGCCCAATTTGAAACCCCACTTGATCTCGACCCTTGATCCGACATTAGATCCATGACGAAACACATGGGCCCAGAAGTCCAGATCTCCTAAAGATACTAGGGTTCGACTTCTGTAAACTCTAGGGAAATTAGGATTCAATTTATATAAATAGAGAAGTAAGTTAAACTCTATAGGTATGCCAAAACCCCCTACTCTCCTCGTACTCTCCTCACTCGACTTCTCCGATATTAACTTAAGCATCGGAGCCCGTTTGGCCAAAGCCACATCGGTCCTAATGCTATTTTACTTTTCAGGTCTCGTCGATCCCTTTACTCTAGAAGATTTGTGCGAATTTGGCGAAATTCCAAAGAAGCTAAATTTTTGCATCAACYGGGATTAAATACTTTCAATCTAGCCTGTTTGCTTTCTATCTAGGCATGAATTCTCGTTGAAAATTGCTTTAATTGCATTGCACATATTGGCTTTACACAAAATTTTAATAGCTTTGTTAGAGGTTATTATGGAGAAGCAAAAGTGAGTAGAAAGGTGAAGATTAGGGGTGTTTAAAAAAACCGACAACTCAAAGAGTCCACGCAACCCTAACCAAATCGTAAGAGTTGGGTTGGGTTACAATTTTTTCGAACTATCGGTTCTCAAGTTCGACAAAAAAAAGTTTGATTCAACCCGAACCGAACTCAATCCTCTCGATCTTCGTCTGCCTTTCTCCTCTCTCAAATCTCGATCTTATCATTCAATCTCAGTCTCTCGATTTCATCTCTCATTCTACATCTCACATCTCTAACGATTCCGTCTCCAGTCTCTCAACTCTCAGTGTAGATCTCCATCTTGATCTCTTCTCTCACTTGTAGTCGTCGACCGTGGCCCGTAACCAACATCATGAATTTAATATTTTCTTGATTACAACGGGTGTTTACTCCCAATCCCTTTCGGTTCTTCTTGGTTCCTTTGGTTTCACAAGCCATCAAGACTAGATTTTATATGATCAACACTACAAGTGGCCAAGCCACCATTAATGGCCTCTTCCAATGCAGGGGAGACCTCAACAATGGCTAATGCTACAATTGTGTAAGCAAATTTCTTGGTTTTCCCAAATTTCAAGGTTTGAAATGCGGTACAAAAATTGTGGGGGGACGAATGTAGCCAGAAGTGGGTTTCAAGAGCGGTGGGACATGGCGCTTCTCATCTTGGAGAATGGCGGAATGAGCAGCATGGATTCTACACGATAAATTATCAATCGATTTATGTGTTGGGACAATATAAAGGAGATTTGGGGATTCAAATTGTGGAGAGTTAAAAATATGGAGCTCAAATGGAATGTAACCGGATAACCCATGGGTTGGGTTGGGTTGGTCATTAAACTCGATTCTGTCGGTTCGCTGATCTGGCCAAATCCAAAAATTCGGGTTGGTTCAAAAAATCCTGTTGGCTTTTCGAGCTTCAGTCATACCATATGTTTTAATGATAAGAAACTTAGTCTACTGATGATTTTTGTGTTTCAAAGTGTTCATAGCGTAGAGCATAACAAGGCAAATCCAACGCAACTTGAATGACTCAAATCGAAGTTTAAATGAAGAAGTTATGATCGAAACAAGTCGAACGAAAAATACCCGATATGAT